GGCCTGGTCGTAGAAGGCCACCAGGTTGGTCTGACAGGACCTGCTTCAAATGAACCAGTGTTGGTTGCCCCTAAGCATGATCTCCCCCCTGGCCCCTCGTGGACATGCGCCAGGATAATTCTCTGAAAAAGCTTCCCCAGGACCGAGGTAAGACTAACTGGCCTATAGTTTCCTGGGTCCTCCTTCCTCCCCTTTTTAAAGATGGGACCCACATTAGCCCTCTTCCAGTCCTCTGGCACCTTGCCAGAGCACCATGAGTGCTCATACAGCCATACCAGGGGTCCCTGACTTACAACAGGAAAGAACTTTTTTGTCTTCATTCATGTCATATGCAGGAAAATATAGTTAAAAAAGAAAGAAAAACCATGCTAACCACTGCATTTAATGGCTGCATCTAGTGCAGTAGCTCCCCAGCAGGTTTCAGGAGGTGCCCCTGCCACTCTCTGGCAGGGGGAAGCCAATCCAGGACATGAGGGTCCCCGGTGCATCCAGCCTCTGGATTTCACGCAGTGGGGAAAGCAAGTGTGAGAGCAGCAGTATGGCACCTGCGGATGCAGCTCCCTCAGACACCTGCACCCCAAGGGTTGGGGGGGTGCAAAGAGAGTAGACCTGGGCTGCACTCAGCAGGGGCATTTAGCAGGACAAGGAGCAGTGGGCACAGGCTGCAGCAAAGGAAGTCAAGGCTAGAAAAACCCCCTCCCTTGGGAATCAAACAGAAGAAATGGTCTCCATCCTTGGAGGCTCTGAAGCCCCCACTACACCACACACACAACAACTCCCACAACCCGCCCTGTCTGAGAGCACCCCCACAGGACCCAGCCTCTTATATAGCCCTGCCCCTGTCACGTGACCAGAGAGCTGGCCCTCCTTCTCACGTGACCCAGCGGACACGCAGCCGGTTCCCCTGCCCGCCCCACGTGACGCCGCAAAGCTCCGGCCTCCCCCGCCACGTGACCCCCTAGCGGAGCGCGCCGATTGGCTCCTCCCCCTCTCTCCCCCGCCGGTCACGTGCCGGGGAAGCGGCAGGCGGGTCACGTGCCCGGAAGCGGCGGAGTGGGGCTGGGGGGAGTGGCCTCCTCTTCTCCCTCCTCCCCCTTCACTTACCCTGTCTCCTCCCTCGCGCTTGTTGTTGGAGCGAGGGCTCATGTGACCGGGGCGGCCGGGCCCAGCCGGACAGCGCCCACCGCTCCCGCCCCCGCCTCCCGGCCCGGCCTGGCCCGGCCATGGGGTGCTGCTACAGCAGCGAGAACGAGGCCTCCGACCAGGTGGGGG